GGAAATGACTCAGAGAGACGACAAAGGTATGACTAGAGATGCAGCAGGAAGCCCAAGGAAATGTCAGACCATAAAGCCAAGGGCAGAGGTTTCTCCTACTGTCCAGAAGCAATGTCAACAGCTGTTTAAGATCCACTCGGTCTGAGATGAGAGATCAGTGTGCTTGGGAAGGGACACTATTCTAATGAGGTGGAAAGCTAGTGACACACCATGAGTCCACTGTCCCCAGTTGCACTGGTGACACACCATGAGCCTTCTGTTCTAAGATGTGTCAGACTGCAGCAAGCAATGACAAGGAAACCGACTACTGAGCCAAATTTCTGGCTTACCATGGGAAAGTTGGTTTTTTCATACTCACAGTTTGAAAGATATAGGTGACCCTCCTGCTTCATGTAGCCCACTGTTCTGACCAAGTGCCCTCTGGGAAATAAGTAGCAGTGTAATAGCAGGTTGAAGGGCCTGAGGACCAAGGTCTTTCGTTCCTTTTCCCCACATTCCTTTGCCTGATAACACAGAACCAACCTTACTGAGGCTCCCTCTGGTTTCCTGTGTGTCTAGAGGTTCCCCACACACCAGAGTAAACCAGAAAGTGGGAAATGGTACCTCATGACAGTCCTCATCTCTGGACTGTCAACCCTTTTGTTTGCCAAATCAAGTTTTACTTCACACTCGGGGCACAAAGTCCAGAATCTATGGTGACAAGCTCGAGCTTGTGTGGCTTCTCTTTGTCCAACCACTCAGCCACCAAAGACCACTCTGGCCACCTGCTCAAGGTGGGTGGAAAGCCAGCTGCTGTTGGGCTCCTGAACTCTGTTTTTCAGTCTTCCCACTGGCCCAGCTCTTCTCTCTGGGTGGGTGGGGGAATCTCCCTTTGTCATCCTACTCCTTGGCTATAAGAAAGTGGAATGGCAGAGCAAGCTATCCTGAGGAACAGCATAGTGCCCCCACTGCTAGCCCAATGTCTGGTTGGAGTAAATAGTCAATAGCATTAGTCATCACTTGTTGTTCAAATAGCAAAGGAAAAATTGCATGTGTTTGGTGAGATTGATGTACTAAGTGCCTAGAATTGGAGATATTAAGTAACTACCTTCAAAAAATTGAGAACTTCAGTAGGTAAAGGTGCTTGCTTCAGCAACTATTATTAGCCTGGGGCATTCAATCCCCAGAACCCAAATGGTGGAGGGAAGAGAAGTGACTTCCACAAGATGATCACTGACAAACCTGTAGCTAATGCCAGGACCATGGCTGATCCCATCAAAGCTACACAACAAAGGATAAGGCTGCCAAGCTTAAGAGTCTGTCTGGCAATCCTGATTGGTGAGTTGAATTTCAGAACAAGGAGCTTAGCATATGCATGGCCTTAAAGATCCCGTGGCCTGGTGTCCTCATCAATACTGCAGAAACAGATCTATCACTCCTGCTGCTGCCTTTGGGGGTCAGTGGCTGAGACACACAGTCAAGACCTCCCATGCCTTCCTCTTCAGCGGTCCCTGGGGTGTGAGCTGTATCTCATTGATCTGTCTGTGTGTCTGGTACTGGGTGTAGCACACTGCTCCGCAATCAATGAAATAAAGCACAGAAGACATCAGTGAGTGCTTCAAGGAAAGACAGGGCACATTCTTTTCCATCCCCAGTGGCTAGTGAAAACCATTACAGTATATCTTTCCAATTAGATTTCTGAGCATCACTCATCCTGTTTCCACTTAGACAGGAGACACGCTAGCTAATCCAGTATCCACTAAAACCTCCCATGGCATGATCTGCTGAGGGATGGGAGCCAGGAGCAGCAGGGGTCAGGGAGCAAGGGTCCAGCTCAAAAAGGACTAGCCTCAGGGTGTCCAGCCTCAGGAGGAACCAGTGCTGGCTTGTCAGCAACAGCCTTGGAGCAGGAACTGTGATGGAGTGAAAGTCAATCTGGGGACCCTGGAATGAGGTCCCTATGTGCTTCCAGATAACACTCATCCAACCCTCAGCCATCCCCCTCGCCCACACTCTAAGGAAACAGCCAGCCAGTGACAGAACAACCCTGTAAGCACCAGGGGAGTAGGAAATGCTCAAAGCAGGGTGAGAATTCTAATCCTTTCCTCTTGCTCCCCCCTCCCTAAGCCCAAAGGAAGTCTGAGCTCAAACTGTCAGCAAGAGAGCCTGGCTTCGTGTGTCCTACTTGGAAGGCTTAAGTAATTAAGTCTGCAGTGGCTAAGGCTGTGACCATCTCGCTGTGAAAATCAATGCCCCAGGGTACTCATTACAGTTTGAATATGAAATGTCCCCCACAGACTCATATACTGGGGACTGCATTGCCAGCTGATAGGCTTTTGGGAAGTGCCTGGCTCCTGAGGACTCTGACCTCGTTCCTTATGGAGTCATCACAGGGTGGCATTATTGGAAGGTAGTGAAAAGTAAGAGGTGGAACCTAGTTGGAGAAAGTAGGTCCTGGAGACATACCCAAGATGCATCTTGCCCCGTCTGTATGTCTGTCTGTCTGTCTGTCTGTCTGTCTGTACTGCCTGGACACTGTGAGATGGGGAATGTTGGCCCTCCATATCTTTCTGCTGTGATGCTCTGCTTCAACAGTCACAAAGCATCAGAGTCAGCCAACCATGGACCATAACTTTTGAAACTGTGAGTCAAAACAAATTTTTCCTCCTTTTCAGTTATTTATGCCAGGCATTATTTTACAAGTGACTAACAGTTCTGCAGGGAGCCACTGGAGAGAGGGTAGCTGCAGTCGAGTCATCAGGATCAATAGCCTTCCATAGACTGTGGCAAGATCAACAAAAGGGCTCATTCCATGAAGTAGTCTGACACATGAAGCCCTTACAACCATTGCCTCCTTTTAGACCCTAGTTCTATTGCTTTCTGCCTGTGATTCTGAGCAAACAACCCATTCTACCAAGCCTTACTTCCTTCCAAGAAATGGGGGAGGCAGATGATAAACAAGGATTAAATGATAAGATCCACATAAAACCCTTGGCAATCTGGGCACATGGCCAGAGTAAACCATTTACTGTAGTTACTATTGTGTCACCAGGGTTCCAGGTACCACACTGAGCACTTTGAATGCATTCCTTCCTTTAGTTCTTGTCCCTGCACTAGGTTAAGTTAGGTTCAGGTGCATCCACAGGGGAGAAGCAAAAGCTGGAGAGGAACTGTGGCCAGAGTCATCTGACTGATCAGTGACAGCTCTAGGATTCTGAGTTCCAAACAGCTGCTTTAGTCATTTGTTTATGTGCATTTGTGTTTTTGCTTGCATGCATGTCTGTGTGGGGTGTTGGGTCCCCTGGAACTGGAGTTATGGATAGTTGTGAGCTGCTGTGTGGACGCTGGGAATTGAGCCTGGGTCCTCTGGAAGAGAATCAGTGCTCTCAAGCACTGAGCCATCCCTCCAGCCGCACTGCTGCTTTAGTTGTACAGATTTGTTGCAGGGCTAGGGATTGAATCCAAGATCTCAGGCATACTAGGCAAGCGCTTAACCGTTGAGCCATACCCTGATCCCCACTCCCAAATACCTACTCTTTGTTCTTTCCCCTGAATGTGTTCTAGGGTAAAATAGGCACTTTTTTTAAGCTTAATTTTTTTTAATGTGTGTGTGCATGTGCACTTGTGCAGATACTCTCTGACATCAGAAGAGGAAGTCAGATGCCCTGGAGCTAGAGCTACAGGTGGTTATGAGCTGCCTGTTGAGTACTGGGAACTAAACTTGGGACAAGAACAGCAATTGTTGTTAACCACTGAGACACCTCTCTTGATTGACATTTTATTATATTAATTATGAGTCGTGTGGAGTGTGTGCACATGAGTGTGGATTGCATGGGAGCCAGAGAGGCTGGGGAGTGAAGTTACAGGAAGCTGTAATCTGCCCAACATGGGTGCCAGCAAGGAACCAAACTCAAGTCCTCTGCAAGAGCAGTAGTCACTGCTAACTTTTAAGCCATCTCTCTAGCCCCCATAGATGATTGGGTATGGTAGCACATACTTGTATTCTGTGTGTGTGAGTGCTACAGCATGTGTGTGGAGGTCAGAGGACACTTGGAGGAGTCAGTTCTTTGACTGACCTCAGGCTCTAAGGCTTGGTGGAAAAGTACCTTTACCAACTGAGCCATCTCCTAGCACAGCTGTAGTCTCAGCATGTGGCAAAGGCAGGAGGACCATTAAGGTCATAAGCTCAAGGCCAGCTAGCCTGGGCTACATGAGACCCCCACCTACACAGTGCTGCCTAGTTACATAAAATGATGTGCCAATCTTAAATTTACAGACAATATTCTCACACTGGCCAGGAATCTCTAGATTCAGGTTCGGCCTGGGCCCTGGCTTTAACACCTCTCATCATTGTGGGTCAGAATTCTCTTTGCAACTCCACTTTTCAAGACTAATACTGTCTTTCATAGCTTAGATGTCTACATTTCTCCCAGTTGACTGCTTTTTAAAGTTCATCTTTGGAAGCAGGATCTTGCTGTCACCCAGGCTAGCCCATATGTATCACCAGGTGTGGCTAGATGTTCGCTTCTCAAAACCACAGTGCCCCTATCTGAAGTTACCCATCCTACCCATGCTGCTTCACTAGACAAAGGAAGATGCGTACACAGCTGAACCCCAGAGAGCTTGCTGAGAAACTCAAGTGTCACTGGGTGCCTTGGCTGGCATTTGAATAGTTGCAGGGCAAGAAGTTCAGCATCCTACGAACGATGGGCTGTACTAACAAGGACTTTCAGCTTCCCAGTCTCAGTGACCCTCTTACCATATAAGGCTGTTTGACTTACCTTTGTGTATGCATGGTTGTGCTCACTGGGGCTGATGTACATGCGCTTGTGTGAACGACTGTGCCTCTACAGGTATGTAAAGGCCACAGGTTGACATTCAGGGCCTTCTTCTGTTTCTTTTCACCTCATTTTTTGAGATCGTTTTATTCCAAAACCCTGGTTGGGCTGTTATTAACCATGTAGCCCAGGTTAACCTTTAGTGGAAGACAACAGCCTTATATGCAAACACAATTCGGAGGCTTTTAGCTTGAAATTAATTTTAATGCTAATCTATCTCAGTTGCCTGCATGCTGGGCATACAGGTGAGTACCACCATACCTGGCTTTGGGCTTACTTATTACAAAGCTTTCCAACCCGTCTAGCCTCAACGTGGCAGATGGCCTGAAGGACAGATGTGAAGCTCTCAACTTCTCTCAGAGGAGTCTGCTTCCCCAGTGATGCTTAAAAACAAAAGCCAGGTTGTACCACTGCCACCTTGGCTGGACTGAAGAAAAAGGCTGGATGACCTCCAGCTGGTGCTCCAAGACAGTAAGAGGCGCCTCTCCGATGGCAGCCACAAGAGACACTCACCTGTCAGGGAAAGGCTGGGTACAATTTAAAACAATGAAGTGAGGAAGTGATGGGAAGGAAGCAGCCTTGATCCAGTTTGATGTGTCCGGAGGAGCCTGTGCAAGGGGATTCAGGGCCACTGCAGACCTCTCAGGGCAGATCAGATGCTCATGTATTGACACAGGCTCAGAATGAGGTCAGTGAGCAGCAACATGTCAAGCTGAGAACAATGAGTCTAGCTGGTGCTTCCTGTGGGTCCTAGGGAGCTGCTGGTCCTGTGCTAAGTTTATTAATTTTTCTGAAAATGTACTGTGGCTAGCCTAGTTTTCCTTAATGCTTAATAAAGGGGAAAACTGTTTACATTGCACTCTTGGGCTTGACACTGAGCGGCTGAAGTTAGCAAGATCCTTCACTTTCAAAGATCACACAAACCAGCAGCCTGGGAGGAAAACAATTCCTTTAGAAGCATGCCATTCTCAAGTGCAAGTGACGGCAACTGAACACTATGTGAAATAAAGCAAAATGAGGGTAAGAAGGGATCAGAGCTGAGGTGGGGAGAGCCCATACTGCATACTTGGGTTCTGGGGCTTGTTGTATAATGGGCTCAGGATAAATAGGGAAGGTGCTGCAATTCCTGTGCACTTCTTAAAGTCCAGATGTTTCTATATATAAACCCTGCCTGTTTAGCACTCCCCCTGAGGGACATCAGAAGCTCAAGCAAAGGGCCAGCATTTCTGTAACCTCCTGCTTCTACTCTATATGTCTCATTCCCATTTCTTGCTTAAGTGAGACCTATACTTTTCCATCAAAGGACTTGTCACCAAGGTTTTTTTTCTTTCCAGTTTTCACTGGCTGGCAAGGCACTTTGTGGTTACTTTAATAGGCTCAGCCTTCTGACTTTCAGTTGAAACTGCCCTGCATGTATGCATGCAATTGATAATAGGCAATCTGTTAGAAGACAGGCTCTAAGTCTCAGGGTGAGGCTACAAGCAAAGGTTCCTGTCTTCCTATGGTATCCTGTGTGCTGGGAACCATCCCAGTGTTACATATTATAGCTCCTAGCTTTCTTGAGACTGAAGTGATTATCACCTTTGGTTAGAAACCAAAGCTTAGGCCAGTGAGTTTATTCAGCAGCTAAGCAATGAAGGGAAAGCTTGAACTCACAACCATGGTGCTATACTTCTTCCTCCCTTGCCAGAGCTGTTCAGGGTGATCAAAGTGAGTGAATTTCCTCATTTGGGAAGTAGCTGGTAGCCTCCTACTCACCACAGTGCAACACAGAGTTCATGTCTAAGAACTATCATTTCTTTTCTTGCCTTCTCTTTTGCAGTACAATGTCCAGAAGTGAAGGTTGTTAGTAAATGTTAGCAGTGAAGCCCTGTTGTCTAGCAGGAAGCTAGATCAAACTTTATGATTTATTTCTTTTTATGTGCATATTGACATTTTGTCTGAATGCATGTGAGGGTGTCAGATCCCCTGGGACTGGAGTTACAGACAGTTATGAGCTGCCTTATGAGTGCTGGGAATTGAACCCAGGTCCTTTGGAAGAGCAGCCTGTGCTCAACTGCTGAGCCATCTTTCCAACCCATATTTACTTTATTCTACGAATTTTGCCTGTATGCATGTCTGTGGAGTGTGTGCACAGAGACCAGAAGAGGGCATCGGCTCCTTTGGAATTGGAGTTACAGACAATTGTGAGCCACCATGTATGTGCTGAGAACTAAGCCTGAGTTCCCTGGAGGAGCAGCCAGCGCTCTTAACTACTGAGCCATCTGTCCAGCCCCAAATCCTGGCTTTTTGATCATGGATGTATTACTGACTCCTTCTAAGGCAACTCTCTTGTCTACAGACAGGCCTAATGTCACCTCTCTGTAGGAGTGCTGTGAGGTAACTGAAGGCTGGTTTCCCCACTTCTTCCCCTGGCCAGGAAACTCTTTCTTCCTCTTTGCCTACAGCTCTTGTAGTTTGGTAACTACATGACCTCATGTTATCAGTTCTGGCCTGCTTCCCTCTAGCCATCACATACCAGCCAGAGTGACTGACTACCTCTTCTCAGCTGGGAGCAGAGATCCTACAGAGAGGATTACCTTCAGCATACCTTCAGCAATGCACAGCCCTCCAAGCTACTTCATTCTAACAGAGTGGTTCAGGCTGGCCTCAAACTCACTTTATAGCTCAGGCTGGCTTCAAATTCCTAGTGATACTATTACCTCAGACCCCAAGGGCAGGGATTACAGGCATGACCCATGACACCCAGTTAACATGTTATTTCTTATGTGTCATTATTATTTGGTCAACTAAATAATTTTACAGGCTGTAGGAATGAGGAGGGAAGTTTGCCACAGTGCCACAAGGTCAGAAAGCCCATGATTATAAGTTTGTAAAACCCCATTATAAGTATGACTATGGGCTGCACAGGAACAATTGTAAAGGTTAGAGAACCGTCAATTTCCTTCCCTTGATATCCTTCAGTATACAGTTATCTTTTGGTTTACAAAGGGCATGTTGTGAAGAAAATCTGATGAGGATGTTGACTTAAGCAGTGTGCCCACACCATTCCTGCTTGGTGCCCTCACTCAACTTGCTGTGCCTTTGATGGACTCAGCTCAGGAGCTTGGATCAGCTCTCTTTGGCAGAAAGAACTATACCAAGTTGGAAGAGGGCAGTTTTATCTTAACAAAGCCCAGGGCCACAGGGTGTAGGATTAGGTGAGCAGCTCTTCCTATAGCAGCTGTCTTTTGTACTGTCAGGGCTGAGGCAGCAAGCGGAACTGCTTCCCCTACAGCGCCCTCTTGTGGCAGATCTGTGCTGTACAGACAAGTGCAGGTTAGAATGAGTCATCTTGCATAGTCCTGGTAGAGGCTCAAGTGCCTAAGGGAAAGTAGGAAGCCAAAATGAGTATCAGAAGCAGTTTCTGTCCATATACTGACCACCATGACAGGCAGTGGCACACGGCTTAACGAGGCTTTTCAAAGAGATATTCCAGATCTGGGGCACGCAGTCTCTGTTCTTTGTTTTTGTTTTTGGTGAACTCTCTCAGCAGTTCCATGACTTCATTTTCAAATATTTCTGGGGCTGGTTTTGCTTCTGCAACAGAAGGGTGGGCAGAAAGAATTGTACCATGTCAATGCTCATGTGAAAGACTTGGAGCTATGAAGCTGCCTGTAGAGACCCAGCACTTACAGGCTAAAGCAGGATGATTACTGCAAGTTCAAGATCAAGCTGGGTCACAGAGTGAGCTCCAGGCTAGCTCGGGCTAGAGTAAAACCCTATCTCCAGAAACAAAAACAGAAGCCAAGAGATGGCTCATGGTACAAGTGCTTGCTGCTCTTCAAGTGGACCAGACTTCAACTTCCCAAACATCCATATCAGGCTGCTTACCATTACCTGTGACTCCAACTCCAAGAGATCCCATGGCCTCTTCTGGCCAACCATAGGCACCCACACATCAATAAAAATAAAAAGTAAAATTTAAGGGCCAGCTCAAAGGCTCAATAAGTAGACACTTGACACCAACCTGAGTTCAATCCCCGGATCCCACATGGTAGAAGGAAAGAACCAAATCCCACAAGTTATCCTGACCTCTTACATACACACACACATACCATAAAAATAATTTTTAAAGAAAAAGTACATTTCTTTTTAAAATCTAAAAGCAAACAACAACAAAGAGCAAGTTGAAACTCTGGCAAGAGCCAAGAACCACAGATGAATAAATGGACCATGGGTCATCACCATTCTTCCTCCAAATACTCTAGGCTATACAAGGGTTGGTAAACTGTGTTGGCCTATATTTGTAAATAGTTTTGTTAATACAGCTTCTTTCATATGCTTGCGTATGGTCCAGGCTACTTTGTATTACAATGGTAGACCTGAGAGATGACAACAAAGCTCATACAGCCTCATGACTAAAATATTTAGTGATAGTTAAGGAACAAATCTGATGACCCTTCATTTGTGCAATTTTGGCTATACTGTTTTGCTTTGCATTTGGCCTCAGTTGTCTTCTGGGCACAGAGTTATTTCCCCCTTACCTTTGGTTTCAACATCCACAGTATCACTTACCTTGGTTCTTCTACAGTTTGACAATATAAAGTACAAAATTGTGAGAGCCAGCAGTTATGACTCCATTTCATCTTGATGTAAGATCAGAGAGTTCAAACTTATTTTTGTTCATCAAGGCCAATAACAGAATGTTTGGTCAAAGGCATGACTACTAAATGTTTTGCTCCTCAAGACCAAATAACAGGATGTTTGACTAAAGGTGTGGTTACTACATGGTTTGAGAATTAACGGGATGATTACATTTGATTGTTCCTCGTATCATGGTTAGGAAGTCTTATGTCCGCCCCTTTTGCTTTGGGTATAAAGGGCTGTGAGAAATAAATGTGGGGCTGCTGCAGTGATCACTGAGAGCCCTCCCGCCTCTCTTCTGTCTTTTGTCTCTTTCTTTTTGTCTCACTCCCCTTTTCACACACATGCAGCAGGTCAACAGGTCCCAACACAAAATCCCAGAAATAATTTGTGAGTTTTAACCTGTATGCTATTCTTTTTTTTTTTTTTAAAAAGGGGGGACTAGGCCAGGCAGTGATGCATGCCTTTTTTTTTTTTTTTTTTGAAAGATTTTATTTATCTATTATGTATACAGTCTTCTGCCTGCATGCCAGCAGAGGACACCAGATCTCATTCAAGGTGGTTGTGAGCCACCATGTGGTTGCTGGGAATTGAACTCAGGACCTCTGGAAGAAGAGTCAGTGCTCTTAACGGCTGAGCCATCCCTCCAGCCTCTGTATGCTATTCTTAATAGGCTGACAAAATCTTATACTATCCTGCTCTGTCCACCTTGTGTATGAATTATCCTTTGCCCTATATATCCACACTGTATACGCTACCCATGCATTAGTCACTTAGACACCTTAGTTTTGAGAATATAAATAAATGTTGCACTATTGCAGGCTTATGTTCAAGTGACCACATTCTTTGTTTTTTGTTTGTTTGTTTTTGAGACAGGGTCTCTATCTTTCCTGGAACCCACTATGTAGACTCGGCTAGTCTTGCACTCAGAGATCCACCTGCCTCTGCCTCCTGAGTACTGGGATTAAAGGCATGAACCACTATGTCTAGCTATGAAACCATATTTTTAAATTTAGTAACAGACCCAAAGCACAAGAGTAGTGATACAAAGAGGGCACTGGGGCATAGAAATGGACAGACAGGTTAATTCTGGTACTGTGTGACAGGTAACACTGCAGGGTATATGGGGTAAGCATGGGCTATACAGGGCTTAAGATCATCCAGTTTTAGGAATCCTCTGAGGATTTTATAATGAATTCTCTACAAATAAAGGGAGACTATAGTAGTGTTTCCACTTTTATTCTTTTTGTTTTGTGGTGCTGGAGACTGAACCCAGGTGGGGCCTCATATATGCTTTGTAAGTGTTTTTGCCATTGAACTCCATTTCCAGCCCTCCTATTCTTAATATTTATTTTTTGTGTATGAGTATTTTGCCTGCAGGTATATATGTGTACTATATGCATGACTAGTGCCTGCAAAGGCCAAAAGAAGGCATCAGATCTCCAGGATTTGGAATTATAGCCATTTGTGAGTACTCATGTGAATGCTTTAACCAAACCTGGGTTTTCTGCAAGAATAGCAAGTGCTCTTAATTGTGAAGCCATCTCCCCACCCCATTTTATTTTAAAATGTGCATGCATGTGTGCACATGCGTGTGTGGGGGTAAGGCACAGGTATGCTACCTTATGGCCATGGAGGTCGATTCTCTCCTCCTACCTTGTTTCTATGCTGGATATTCCAGGCTGGCTGGCCTACCAGCCTCCAGAGGATTTGCTGTAAGAGTGCTGGCATTACAGATATGTACCACTTGGATGTGGTGGTGTGAGCCTGTAATTCTAGCATAAAAACATGTGGATTTCTAATGAGTTCAGGGCCAGCGTGGTCTACACAGTAAATGCCAGGCCAGCCATAGATATATAATAAACAAGTAATATCAAAACAATAAAAAGCATGTTCTACTTTGTGAGCTTTTTACATGAGTTTCAGGGATCCAATCCATGTCCTAGGCTTGTGAGGTAACCATTTTTACCTGCTAAACCATGCAGGAGAAATAGCCCTGGCTTGTTATAAGTTTTGTGTGACAGTCAAAATAAAATCCAGGAGTTTTAGGCCTCCCTTTAGAGCACAGAGAGTTGGAATGGATACCACATGCACTTTTAACATTAAGAAAAAGCCTGACAACAAATAGGACTTTTCTTAACATTGTCAGGGCTGAGGTCACAGTGCAGCAAAGTATAAGGATTAAGTAAGAGAAACCCATCAAACAGGTAATTGTACATGAACACTTGCTGGGCTGTGAGAGGAGGAGCCACTGGGTGTAATACAAACAGGGAGGAATTCATCAGCTAGGCACGGTTGTTGTAGAATGGGTGTGGGTTCATGTGGGTCTGAGGAAGAAGACACAGGATGAATCCAGGCTTTCTAGCTACAGGCAGACTCAGCCTCTCAGTGTGGACTGAGACACTCTCCCTTAGTCCAGGGCTTTTCTTTTGTTATCCAATTTACACCTTTAACAAATTCATTTCCATATCCCAAAACATCTTATCTGAGTCTCTCAAAGGAACAATGCCAAATGCAAATTCTTGATTAAGGTTTGTTTGCTGGATTTTTCACAACCAAGTTTTGCATAGGCTTTGCACCTTTGGTGAACACTCAGGCAGGATTTACATATTTCAAACAGAAGGTGCTCAAGACAAAGGGCAGATTAAGGCTAGGCCCAACATTCCAAAATCAAACCGGCTGCAGCTCTGTAGGAGTTCTCCTTACACTTGGTGGCACAAGCCTTTAATCCCAGCACTCAGGAGGCAGAAGCAGGCTGATCTCTATGAGTTAGAGGATAGTCTGTTCCAGTGAGTTCCAGGCTATCCAAACAAAATTAAAAAAAAAAAAAAATCAGCTACATATTCCCAAAGCCTAGTGTGGGTTAGCCTAAATGTCTGGGCCCACACACCCAAGTGGAGCTGGTACTCTCACTCACAGGCTCTTCCTTGAAAGCCTACACCAGACATGCCCTGATGGAGTCTGGCCTCAGAGTGGGAAGCCAGAAGGAGAGCACAGTCCAAGTGGCCAAAGAACATGAAGCTCTTGGAAGGAACACAGGTAAGTCTGTAACTGAGAGTGGGTAATTCAATCTTGTCTCTCTCATATGGGCTGGAAGAAGAGTCAACGGAGAAAAAGAAGAAAGAAGAAAGACACACAGACATGTAGGCCTGAGGGTGGGACAGTATCACTGATCAATCCTACCTCTAATCCTACCCCAGCCACAGGAGTTGCCTGAGACCAAGGCTGGACACGGAAAAGAGAGATGGTTATCCCTGGCACCCCTCAACTAGCAAGGCTAAGTGGAAGGCACAGGAATCTAGCAGTGAAGAAGGCCAGAGCATGCAGAAAGAATCCCTCTGAGGCCCAGAAATACAGGAAGGCTGAAGGCTAGGAATGACATAGAAACACTGATAACATTATTTAGAAACAATTTCTGCCCTGAGCACACCATTATATGGGGCTGCTGAGGTCCTGAACATGAACAAAGCAAAATCATAATCTAGACTGAGCTTAACAGCCAGGCTCATGAACTTGATTCCCTACACTAACAGCCTAGATGATGCATGGCTCCTCAACACATAGACACTACGTATCTTGATCTCCAATGTCTAACTAAGGTACCTAACATGGGTTAGACATGGGTATGTTGGCACATACCTATAATCCTACTACTGGCAAAACTGAGACAGAAGAATCAAGAATTTAAAACCGAAGCCAGGTGAGGTGGAGCTTGCCTTTAATCCCAGTACTGGAAGCAGAGGTGAGCAGATCTCTGTGAGTTCCAAGACAGCCAGGACTACACAGTGAGACCCTGTCTCAAAAGGCAAAAACAAAAAGGATTTGAAGCCAGCCTATGATGGCAATGAGAATCCATCTCAAAAAGCTAACACAGGGCTCAGGAAATGGCCCAGTGAGTAAAGCACTTGGCATCGAAGTATGAGAGCCCGTGTTAAAATGTCCAGGACTCATAT